AGAATAGCCCTTGATAAAATAGAGAAAATCTCAGAACACTGCTAAGCAGAAACAACAGTGGATAATATATAATGTTTCAAATGTTCAGAACTTAAAGCAGATAACCAGAATAACGCTTAATGCCTTGCAGTTAACAATATGTAAAAACTGTTATTAGTTTATAATATTCAACCTTGTTACTCTGGAGTCTTCCCCGCCGTGATGGTATATAATTCCGTTTGGTTCATGTCCGTGGTCGGAAGCCATCATAGCGGTGCACTCACTCACTCACTCGTTTGGGGTGGAATTATTCTGGGGTCCAGAACTGACCTGCATGTTCAAATTGGAACCATGACAAGCCAAATCTATCGGGACGTCATTCTGGAACAACATGTACGTTTGTTTCGGGGCGCCATGGGCGCACAATTTGTGTTTATTGATGACAACGCCCGTTCCTCACCGTGCAAACATCGTAAGCGAATGCCTTCAATCGGAGGATATCACTCGTATGGATTGGCCAGCATTCTCGACGGACTTGAATCCAGTAGAGCACGTGTGGGACATGCTTGGCCGACGAGTTGCAGCCCGGCAACCTCCTCCTGCATGTCTACCGGAACTTCGGAGAGCATTGCTTTTTGAGTGGGGTAATATCCTCCAAGATCAGATCGATAATTTGATACTCAGCATGCCTAGGCGTTGTACGGACTGTATTGCATCGTCTGGGAGACATACAATGTATTAACTATCATACCAACCATGTAATATTGGTTTTTTGTAAATAGGTTTTTTTTTTTTGTAATTTGCTCCAGGGAGAAAAAATCGCTAATTTTTTTAATATCAAAGATATGGCATCTTTTTTTGCTCTTTACCTTTTTTTGCTCTTTACCTTTTTGCTCTTTACCTATAAATAAGCTTTACAAATAAGTCAAATTTGTTTTGCTTCTAACTCTTTCTTTGCCTGATTTTGCATTATCTTTAATTTATGGACATGAGTGTATTATGGCACTTTATGACCTCTCTTTTCGACTTTCACCAGAACATAGCTGTGATTGTCGACATACGCCGGTGAGGGTCTGAATATACAAGATTGTAGTGAAATATTCGGTCTTTCACCGACGTATTTGGTGAATGTTGATATTCTCCGGTGAAAGTCGACATTCTCCAATTTCGATCTTTCACAGTAACATGTTCATTTATCCCGAATTTTATCGGTAATTCCCACGCCATGAGGTTAAGCATAATTCGAATCGCGAATCTTAAGTTTGCCAGCCGGGGGTGCCAGTCATTTACACCACGAAGATAGGCAAGGTGTAATCCAATAATTTCTTACAGTCTGTACGAAGAGAAGTAACCAGGAATGTTTGAATGAAAAGTTAACATTGTTAATACTGTTTTAAGCGTTTTCTTTTAACTTGAGTTGCAATTCAAACTGATCCTGATTTCCATATCACATAATTATGCAATAAAAATGTAAATAATCTCATTTCTTATTTCTAATGGACAGCAGACATTTATTCATAAACTCGGAGTAACTTTTAATGCTAAAACAAGGAAATGCTATAAGTGAAATTTTTAAAAATTCAACCCGGGAGTATGCGCGCTCATATGAGTTACACGAGCGCGCGCACTAGTTCCAAAAGATCAGGTTCGTGTTTTGTGAAGAAAAAAAATTGTAAATCTGCAAAAAAAAGTGTTGTATCTATGCACATTAAAATTTTTTATTTTTCCAAATGCTTTCATGGAATAAAATTTCTTTAAGGAATAGAACATGGTATTATATATAAGCATAAGAAAAAAAAATAGTATACCTTTACTAAGTACCGATTCTTTATTAGCAATATAGACACAAAGAAAAACAAATGCAACGATAGTTGTTGGTAGTACATTAACCAAGGTGTTGTCGTGTTTTCCAAATACAAATATGTTTCACATTCGACACAGCGCGTTCTCATTTTTCTGTGCTTTTTCGCTGGCCAAACATATTTTTTTTTTCCTTTTTGATAATTTTTTTCCAATAAAGCAATTTATGTCATACTCGTTCTCGTTTTCAGAATTTCTATTAGTTTCTCGATCGGTATCGTTGTGAACTAATAATTCATGATCATTTTCACCCAGTGAAAAAAAAAAAAACTTCGGCAAAGAGGTCGACCTCAGACACGACTACACTGAACTTGAACAGGCGTTCTTTGAGAAAGGTTTGTTTAATCGCGCGGGTCCATTGGACCCAGTTCGCGCCATCGGTTTGAGAGTCTTTCCTTTTAATTCGATTCGAATCCTTTCAAATGATTGGAATGCCAAGCTCTAGCTCAGCTGCTCACCCTTTACGAAGGTCACTCTGATAGACCCTGCCCAGGGTGCAGTTGGAAAAATCTACTTTGCGTGTCCTGATCGTCCGACGGAAGGATTCCGAAGGGCGTCAGCCAACTTACTCTGCATAACAGCACGTCCTCGCATTCCTGATCTCGATGCCACCTTTGGAACTTGCTCCTGCACCAACTCACCCGCGCCTATCTAGGTAAGGGTGGGCGTTTGAGAGAATGCCATCAAAATGAAACATTACTAGCATCAAATGAGTAATGCTCAAACGAGGTCTCTGAGTTCAAACCTGAGCGACAATTGTATTGTTTGTTTACATGTAGTATGTGTGTGTGTGTATATATATATATATGCAAAAACCATAGACGTAAGAGAAGTTCTATTTTTTATTATATTTTTGTACTTTCATGATACTGAAAGAAAAATGAAGCATAAAGGAAAAAGTGGAGATTCTGAATTATTTCCCAGCTCTCAGTGTTTTTGACGCTGAAGCTGCCGCTTAATTCTGGTCACGTTTGTCCATGGCTATTTTGATACCTTTAACCAAATGATAACATTAAGCGGCAGGGGGGAAAAATGTCTTTCAAAATAGCAATGAAATTTAATTAATTTAAGAAATGAAAAGTTTGGTTTGTTTACGAAATGTTCATAATGTCTGTTGTTCGAAAGTTCATTTGTGAACTGTTTCTAACGGTTTTCGAAATTTATTTGACCGATGCTGTAGCCCTAATCTTAATATTCTTAAGGCACTCTCATTGGAAGTAAACCGCGAATGTAAAATTTAAAATCAAGCATAAAAGCAAGCTTAGTTTGTCGTAATTGTTTTCAGTTTTTTGTTAAACGGAAAAGAAAAAATTAAAAATCTACGTCAAATTAAAGATAACTTTTCGCTTAGGGCCAATCAGCGGCCGCGCGGTAAAGTCGCTGAACACTGGTAGTCCGGTCCGAGGTCCCAGTCCCGCAAACGGGCTGCCAGCATGCGTGTTTTCCCCCGTGTTTGACGTGTATACGAGCTAGTTTTCCGTAGAAATTCCTTCACAAAACATTTCTACCCTTAGGCAGATATTCCACCTGTTTTTATTTATTGTATTTTAATTTCGTCAGTTGTAATCATCCCATCCTGTGTTTGGCGCGTCATAACCATCTTTGGTTTTGCGCCAAAAACATCACTCACTCACTCACTCACCCCTTAGGCAGCTAGCGCTTGAGGCTTTACCATAATTACATAAACCAAACCAAACCTTGTAGAGATATTAGGTATTTTTTGAAAGCAGGAGAGATGAAAAATGAGCAATGCCCTCGCCGGGACTCGAACCATGGAACTCTTGACTACGCGTCGAGCGTCCTGACCACTACACCACGAAGCATGCTAACAAGGTAGGAAAAATACCTTACAACCTTTTCTCTTAATTTTAAATGGTTGACCGAAGCCGAAAAGCTATTTGGCGAATTAACTCCTCACTTGGCAATTTTTATAATCTACTTTGACCTTAAAGCTATTTTGCGAATTAACTCGTGATTTGGCGACATTTTGGTGTCACTTGGCAATTTTTATAATCTACTTTGACCTTAAAGCTATTTTGCGAATTAACTTGTCGCTTGGCGACATTTTGGTGTCACTTGGCAGTTTTTATAATTTACTTTGACCTTATTTGACAAATTTATCTTTTATTTAGACACTTTAAATAATTCTATAAGAATATGATCGCATTAAACGAATTGTAGATCGCAATAAGCGAAGTGTTTTCCTCATTGTTGTATACAAACAGGCTGGTTAGGTTATTTAAATACGGCAAAGCCTCGAGGGCTATCTACCTAAGGGGAGGGATGCCTTCTTGGAGGACTTTCTAAGGGAAACTGGCTCGTATACACGTTACACATGGCGAACAGCACGAAAACACCCATGCAGCCAGCCCTTTCGCGGAATTCGAACCTCGGACCGGACTACCAGTGTTCAGCGACTTTACCGCTCGGCCACTGGTGGGCCACAAACAGGCTTTAGTCCCGAAAATCGATAACATTAACCGCAATCGTATTAAACAGAGTCTACAGTACCGAAATGAAAAGAATTTTATAAAATACTTCGAAATTGTAAAAATTCTCTTAGAAGATATTTTTCATTTGTTGTGTTTTATCTGGTGTGTAAAAAGGTTTGTATTGAATCGAGTCATAAGACAAAATAATTTGTAATATGTACTGAGAAACTGGATTTTGCCGAGAATGAGATTGAACGAAGAGCATAAAGATAATCGAATCATGATGATTGATTATGACAGCGGAACTGCTGAAAGATGATTAAGCTGGGCTTATTATTTTCTTTTTTAGCTCGATATTACAGGAAGGAACATGCGTGCGTGCAATTTTTAAAAAGTTTTTATAGTATTAATTCATTATTAGTAATTAAATTTATTATTTTTATATGTACATGAAAAGAAAAATCACAAAGCTTAATTTGAAAATTACTTGAAAAGAATCATTAAAAAAAGTGTTAAAAAAATCTACCTAAAGCTTAAGTAAAGTAAAACACCAAAAATTGTTTTCAGACCTTCTTCTCTTTTTTTTTTTTACTTCTTTTTATTGAGATGGTAAAATGTTAGTTTTATTTATGTGGTACCGTTAAATTGTTTTCTATGTACATTTGCATAACTGTGATGACTTTAAATTTGCTATGATTTTTATTTACTAATTTGTATTTATTTTTTCAGAGCTGCGAGGGAGACTCCTCCCAACTGTATGGACGTCACCCCTTCGGCGAAATTCATCTCCAAGCCCCGCTCCTCTCGGTCCCGCCATGGCTCCCTCAAGGGCGGCTCCACGCGACGACCCCCGAGCCCGGATAGCGCATGCGAGCACGATGGAGAGTGGGTAGGTGGCGCCATCTCGGGACCGGAAGACGTAAACAGTGACATGTCGGAGGAAGGCAGCGAGAAAACGCGAAAAGGCGCAAGACGGAAGATTGAATCGGCCGTCCTGCGGCGGCAGTCGGGCGAAACTACGGCTGTGCTCAAAGGTGAGAATTAAATTTTAACAATTTAGTTCTCTCTATTCACTTTTAAATCAAATCAACTAAGGTCTGCCGGAGGGGGATGTAATTTTGCGCTATGGTTAGGGTTATCATAAGTCTCCGAGACTGAAAAATATCCGGAATTTTTAAATAAAAGTAATTTGTTGCCGTATGGTTAATTTTAGTTTTTCCGATAAATGCATCAACTCCAGTAGAAAAGATTTTTCTCAATTTCTGACAGCGAAGAAGTAGATTACAAGTGTCAATAACAAAGAGACATTTGCACTGGAAAGTTAATTCCATGTACTGATGTAAGTATTTTTATAAAAATATAAAATTGGGGAAAAAAAAAAAAAAAAAAAAAAGGTTTCTAAGGAAAATATTAGCTAATGAAAAAAGGCGATAGTGGAAAAGAAATAAGAATCCGATCCATCCACATGAGTAGATTTGCTGTAAAAGACATGCACTCTTCTCTGTTTTGCAGGAAATAAGACTAAGTCTTATATTAATTTTCTTTCTCAAAAGACGGGTTAGGGATTATTTTCAGGGAATTATCTTCAATCGTGCACAGCAACTAGAATTTACCCATTTACAAACAATCAACACTTATTCATATATTCAAGAATCTACATTTATCCATTAATAAATATTTAAAGTTTTTCAAATTACAGTCATGTCACCATCTTCTGGAACGTCGTCATAGCACTGCAAACCTCGAATCCACCTGATTTTCAGGCCCACCAGCGGCCGAGAGGTAAAGTCGCTGAACACTGGTAGTTCGGTTAGAATTCCGCGAGCGGGCTGGCTGCATGGACTTTGTCAAATTACCGAGATACCCATTTACTCAATGTTAAAGGACTCTTCCCTGTATTACTTTTCCGAGATAGGTTGTTTCTTTAAAAATTTTTGTTACATTACGCAGACAAATACAACAATTTCACATATAATTGCACTAAAACAATTTTTAACAATTTTCGTAACAATATCTAACAATGTATCTCTCCTCAAATGAGCACATCTTGCCCTAGTAGCCAGCGCGTAGTGTATTGGTAATAGTTGCCAATGGATTTTTTTTCCATGAATTTTTCATCCAAGTGTCAGCGAAGTAAAGGAAGTGGCATTTTGTGGATTATTTGCATTAAAAGTAATCGAATTATGTTTGTTCTTATCATGAAGTTAAGGCTTTTATGCCTTTATTTAATCTGCATGCGGTAGTTGTAGAATCATCAACAATTAAAAATGGCGCTAGGCGTAACGAGGCCGTCGTTTGTTCACATATGAAACTCTTAGTAGAATACTGAATTAAGTCAGTTGGTGCACTAACTTCAGTGTCTATTGCACAGTGCGAGAAAAGTTAACTTTCAGTTTTGTGCTCGGAAAATTGTCTTCCTGCTCACAGGTCGAAATTGCTTGCTTAGAAACTAATATTAATTGTAAAAAAAAATTAAAATAAACAGATTTTAACTATAGTGTTTTAGGCTTTTCCGCATTTTACAGTTTTTAATGAAGATATTTTGTGTTTTTATGTATTTTTGCCGTGTCACGAACTGAACTGATTGAATGAGAGCTGTATTTCTAATCAAATTCCAGGTAATAAGTTTAAATGAAGTGCGGCAAAAAATGTGTATAATTTAATAGGCCTTACAAGGAAGTAGTCATTTAGCGTCCACATCAGATTTTTTGTAAAAGAAGATTAAGAACAAGTAGGTGTGATGATTTTTTTTTTTAAATGAAGCTCTGGGAGCGACTGCAGCATCATCCTTGGCCTCGCCACTGATGCACATGATTTGCATATATCACTGCAGTGAGCATTTTATCGAGGTCTATGTATGGTCTATGTATGGTAGGCCCATTTAGATGCTTTCCTCATAGGGCTGCGTTTTGGACAGCCAGTATATGTATAAATACCAGTGAAAACATTTTTTTAGAAAAGGTTTGGTAAATAGCCAGTGGAATTCTTGATAGTAAACATTATAAGACAAATTAAGGAAATCTGAAAGGTTTCAGATTTTAAATTACATCCAAAGGGACTTTTTAACATTTTGCCTGTAACCTTTATTTATTAAATATCATGTTCTTCGCACGTAAACGATAAAATTCAGTTCAAAAGCAATATCACAAAATAATTTTAAATTGAACATATCCTTTAGTATTTCCGATACACAGTCTCACGCGCTGGAGATAAAAAAAGGTTTTTTCTGTACAACGTTATCATTGTTTGCTTTGAAATCCTTGATTTTGTTAATGAAAACTTCATATGCCCATATTTGCAGTAGGATTATGTCATTAGAAATTGGATGGTTTTAGGTACAGTTGCTTTATCACAATTCGAGAAACATACATACATTTATGCAGATTCTTCATTATTTGATTTATTTAAATATAATACAGGGCGATAATATTTTGTGGCAACAGTTTGAAAAGTGAAGCGGACACTCGGAGTGATTCGACGCAAAATCGCAAAACGAAAACAATAGTCCCTCAGGGACAAAACCCTTTGGATTAAAAAACTGTCAGTTTATTAGCAAATTGTTGGAAGTTTAAAAATTATCTTTCAGTTCGTTCAAATGACTGTTGCTTTATTCTGAAAATGTTATTTTTAATGGATTTAAAAAGAAAGCGGAGATAATATTTAGCTTTATATGACTCTAAAAATCTTTAAATTTAAGTAAATTAAATCCGGAAAAGTGAGATGTACTATTATTGTTTTTCGTCGTTATTTTTTACGCTATCTTTGAGTTTTTAAAGTTATTTTTGAGTTATTTAAGTATGTTATTTATACCCAACTTAGTAAATGTCGCTATTGATATTTTTCGTATTCTAAATGTTATTCATTTATTGTTGCTAATTTCAAACTTAATTTTGGCTGAGATTAGTATTTAATTTTCAGTTATCGGTCTGTCTTGTTTACGTGTTAGCTGATCACTTGCTCGACATTTAAGTTAGAGCGTTTATAACAATATAAATTTTATTGCGGAAGGGGTGGAGTGTATTTCTCAATTGACGAGACAATGAGAAAACTTATTTCCGACTTCATAAAAGCAAAGCTTTTCCTATAAAATGTGCAATGACATTTTCTCTTGACACGTTGACGATGAATGTGACAGTTTATGAGAAATATAAGAATGAGAAGCACAACAATGGAGACATTATCTTCCTAGAAGTAATTTTCGAGAGTTGGCATCCTTGGCACGGGTTCTTTACGACCGCTGCTTGGAATGCAAAATGTTTTCGCTTTTTGTGGCTAAGTCTCACTTGAAAAGTTGAAATCTAGAAATCATTGTTAGTACTTGTTAGTACTTTTCGAGTCAGCTGCGCTTGGATTTTTAGTTTAAGAACCAGTTTTCCAAAGCGTGGATGACTGTTTACTGATAGCTCACAGCGTTAGTTTCGGCATAAATTTCTTTAATTATTTAAATTCAGAAATGTTTTAACCTTAAATTCTCATATTCATTTCCTGAGTTGAACTTCTTAAACTCATCAGTCTGAGGTAAATTCAATCATTTAAAATGCGAAGCACGTAAAGGTGTCAAAGTTCACGCCAGATTTTAATTTTGCGCTAATTCTGCAGTAAAGGTGTTGCCAACGAAAAAAAAAAAAAAGACAGCATTATAGCTGACAGTTCAAGGTTATTAAAAATGGAACGCTACATTAAAGAACAATGCTTTTTGATTGTGGAGAACAATTACAGTTTGCGATTTTATGGCCAAAATAGTGATTTAACTTCAAGTATGAAGAGATTAATTAAATTTAGGAAGTCTGAATTAATTAGTGATCTCAATCACTCTTGCCGTCCTTCAATAAGTCGTTCGACACAAAACATCGAAGCAGTTCGCGAGAGCGTTGCTGTAAATCCAGGAACATCGGTTCAGCATCGTGGTCAAGAACTGAACATTTCGAGAAATTCTCTACAACATATTTTCACGGAAGACATTCATCTTCATAATCACAAAGTTCAACTGACTCGAGAACTAAAGTCTGCTGACCACTCACAGCGGGGAGAGTTAAAATGAATTATTGAATGAATGAATTGTTGAATGAATGAATTGTTGAATGGATTCAAAATGAATTGTTGAATGGATTATGGAACAACAAAAAGGTGGATGCTGATTTTTGGAACAAATCATCTTCAGCGATGAGGCTCATATTTTCATCTTGATGGCTTGGTTAATTGGCAAAATTGTATTTGGTGTTCAGGAAATCCATTGGTGATTGTTGAGGCGTTGAGGAACAAAAGCATTTGCAACAAGTGTCACGGTTTAATCCGGATTTTGGGTTGGAAGCATCATCGGACCATTCTTCTCAGAAAATGCGGCTGGTCAGAAAATAACAATTAATGGTGCTCGCTATCGCGGAATGATAACCCAGTTTTTTCTGCCTAAATTGCAAGATATATATGTGGATGACATATGGTTTCAACAAGATGGTCCCACATACCATATAGTCGGAAAAGCAATTCAATTACTGCATGAGTCATTTCCTCGTCGTGGAATTTCCCATTTTGGTGATCAGAATTGGCCGCCCAGATCATGAGATTTCATGTCGTTGCGATTTTTTGAAGTCGAAGGTTTTTTCCAACAAGCCCACGACTAGCCACGTCTTGAATAAGGGAATAAATTAAGCACTGTATCGACGAAGCTGTAGAGGCTGTTTACCGGATCTGCTATTCCATACATAATCCTATACTGCATGCATTATGAAACAATTAAAAGTATACAATTTTTAATTATAAACCATTGTCTTCTATCAAAATTACGTCTTGTGTGAGTTTTGGGACACCCTATACATTTATTTGAATTTTTGAGTTGATAGTGATGTTATGCGCCAGTGGTCAATTAATTTCAGAGTTTCTCGTAAATCGTGCAATGCCTGTCTGCCACAAACTGGTTGGAGATATTAGGCTTCAGTTTCGCCAGTTTAATGTTAATTAGATCAGTAATTTTATCACGGACAAAATAAAGGGGTATTTCGCGGGAAGATGACAAAGTAAATAGTAAAAATTCGTG